AAGGTCTCGTTCGGCGCATCTCCTGTTCATCAACTCATAGGCTCTAAGGTAGGCAAAGCATTGCCGTAATCGTCGCTCCTCAGGGTCATCATGCAACATTTCCAGCGTCGTATTCTTCTTCGGCAACCAACGTTGAAAATTCAACTCGTACCCACTGGAAGTCTCGCCCGGCCTCAATACAACTGCGATCGGTCTCAGCTTCTCCTCGCGATACATTCGTCCATTCGGTCCAAAGTCTTCCATCGCATTCAAGAAACCCTCCGGAGATACCAAACGCCAGTCAAGCAGCTCACTTCGGCTGCGAAAACGTCGTCCTTCGTCATAATCTGTGGGAAATAACTCCTCGTTATGCTTCCAAGTGTCTGAACGCTCACTCTCTTCATAATTGATCTCTCGCTGAGTGGTCGTCCCAAAATGCTGACGACGAAGCTTCATATATCTGAAATTTGAGTGATCTAATCGTAAGAGGCGTTCGACACGGGGGTTGCCTTGGATAGATTCTAAGGATACATTGCGGACAGCAAGCCAAAGCTCGAAACTTCGCTCGTACTCAATCATCGTCTCGTTTCGTCCCAATAACACAGGGATTGGGTGTAAGGGTCGTTCATCCAGATCGAGTTGCTCTTCGTATAGCGCAAATTCGTCAAAGCGTACAACGCAGGTGTCTAATAGATCCATGCGAAGCCCGCAAGGGCGACGCGGGGGAGACAACGGGTGCAGCATTGGGTCTGGGTATTTTGTGAGTGGGTGTTCTTTTTCGAAAAACCCATTCGATACAGAATATTACAGTAGTACTACTACTTTATAAGTAGTAGTATTCATCACCGGCACATAACGTTTTTTCTAAAGAAAAATGATACAAACAAGTTCAGAGTACTATTGCGATTTGCACTTCTAGTGATGTTTCTATAATAATAAAAAAAAAAAAACACCATGACTTCAGAAGTACTACTTTACATAGTAATCGCCCCTTCTGAAATTATAATCCAGCCTAAATTAGATACCAAAACGCCAAAAAATTATGGGCAATTTGGTACAGCCGTACTATTAATAGGGGTTATCACGGTTGGAAAGTATGTTTGACCGGCCAATCAAAGCAAATCTTCGCGTCCGTTTTTTTCATGGAGCTCGAGCTTAGGGAGCTCGAGGTACCCAAATTTAGAAATAGTGCTTTTTGATGTACTCAAAAAATGATCCAAAGGTCTCGCTGTACTACAGCCTGTAGACCCTCATAGAATTGCAATGTCGTGAGCTGGACCAAGAGAATGCGGTATGCCTCGCTCAGGTAGTTACAGCGGAGATGTATTGTTATATATCACGAAGCCATATTACGCCTCAGCTTTGCTAGGTGGTGGCTTAAAGTAGAGTGATACATCGATCACCCTAAATGAGGCGACAATTGCCCATTCTAGAGCAAGTGTAGGCGTTTTTGAATGCGAACTAGACCAACAAATGACACATGAAAACTTTATCGTGTAGTGTTGAATTTCGCTGACTTACACGTAGCCATGTCCTTTAATAGTGCGCTTCCTAGATTTTTCGGCGGAGCGCCTTAGAATATCCTGCACCGTACCAAGCATTTATAAAGCGCTTCGCTCTTGTATACATATAGCTCTGTAGGAAATCTGGAGCTTTCCTTGATTTTCTTTTGTAAATGGTGTTTGTCTAAGGGTTAAAGGTGTTTGTCAGGGTTATTCCTTCATCAGCCACAGCAGCACTGGTAGATACTTAAGTAGTATTATCCCGTTCATCTATAGAAGAATGGTCTGACCTCTCCGATGACGCAAAGTGCTCATCGACTACGTAACAAATGCTGCATACCCTCATAGACTGCCAAGATACACAAAATACCACAAGAAAGAATAATAGACTACTATAGTGCTACCTGAACCTACGAAGTGGTCCGTGGACGAGGAGGGGCACTTATGCGGAGAACAGGTCTGGTATACAGCAATGCCGCAGCATCGAGTCGAAGCGTATTGCATTTTATAGAATAGTCTACCTCCCAAGCTCATTAAATAAATGAATGGAATTCATGCAGCCAAAAAAAGTTTTAAAAAAATGTCCTGCTTTGGAGTAGTGACTAGTATTAATGTGGTCGTTAGGACAGCTAAATGACTGTAATTAAACCTGACTTTGAAGAAGAGAAGTGAAAAGTATATTTTTTTAATCCCGAAGCTTCCCCAATGGAGAACTTCTTGTAATCATCACTGTCATCTCGGACGTGCTGCAAAATGTAGCTGTGCTGATATTGTGGCAGCTCAATTAAAGTCCAACCTGTATGTTTAATACACAAAATGCATTTGGGGACATCAAATAGCACTATTTTTAAATTTGGGTACCTCGAGCTCAGTTTTTCCCAAAGTGGAAGGTAAACCACTAGCTATGATTGGTGGAAAACCGTGCCAGAAGGTTTGATTTGGCTGGTTTTGTGAGCGGTTTTGGCAGTTGACGGATGACTTAATTGGCTGACCAAACATACTTACTTTCCGACCAGTTTGTACCAGCGTAATTTTGTCTGCGATGCGTCTCAGCCAAAATAAATATTTTCGGAAATAATGCTATTGACAATCTAATTTAACCGACTACGCGGACAAGCCGCTTGGTTGTCCACAATGAAAAGTGAGCGCTCCCGCAAAACGGTGCCATTCCAGCATGAAAGTAGTGTGATTTGGACAGCACGGACTGTCGATGGAAATGGTGTTGCATACCTCTACATTGTGCTCTTATTTATCGTTTGATCACACCCACAGTTGGTCACCAAACTCAAAATATCTCATTTCGAAGCTGCTCAACTAAAGATTGCACTGCCCAGTACATAAATCATATCCAAACATAGTGAGTCTTCTTCTGCTAGTTCTTCCCATTCATGGCAACCAAAGCGGTGCGTCTTCGATCAATTCATCGTGAGTTTGAAGATTGCGTCACTACATGTAGACCGCACCAATGCCATACACAGATGCTGTCGATGGTTCTCTAGCATAGATCTCTCTGACAATATTACTGCTCGTCTGCTCGATAGCAGTTCCAGCTCCCGAAACTGGCCGTATCGCCTCTTCTAAGAGAACTTGGGAGATTCTTGAGTTTTGCTTGCTGATCCAGCATCTCAGCGCTATTTCGACTTATATCGCTGTAAATCGCAGTCAACTTGTCGTGCGACGCATACAGAGTATCAGTTTGGTCCACTTGCTGCGCGAGGTATTCGAGCTCATGTCGTTGTTCTTACCACTCTTGCGCGATCACAGCAGCCAGCGCAGTATCACGTCGCTGTTTCTCGCTGTCAATACACGTCGCTAGCTCCTTGATTTGAGTCAGATGTGCTTCTATCTCGGCTTCGTCGCCACCTCCAAAATTATTTACGTACGCCAACCACGCCTTCATAGCTGCCTCGTTTATAGCGATCTGAGTGCTCACGCGGGTGTAATCTCTGGTCAGTCGCTTCTTCGCTGGGTCAGCATTGGCCTTTGCAGCTTTTTTCAGCACCTCTGTCGCCATTCGAATGGGGCATAGTGCTCAGACCCAGCTGCAACAACGTTTGAAATCCATCCACTGATCCAAAGGTACCGTCTTGGGCAGGTGGTTCCGCCACTTGATCGTCGTCAGTAGGGGTTGTTAGCGATGATCTCTGCACACTGACGTGGCCTTCGACTCGGACTTTACATCTAAATCCTTGCAGCTCTCGCTCGAGCTCTGTGAAGCGGTGCTCCATCTGATCTTTTAGCTGCTCCAAATCTAGATTCATTCCAGACACTTGATTGCGATCACGACTCACTGACTCCGCACGAGGACTCTTTCCGCCAACAGGCCTGCCACTATCTGACACTGAAGGCAGGCTATCTTGATCGATGCTAGAGTCGATCCGCGTTCGCTTCGTGTCCCTACTGTTCAAAATAGTTTCTCTTGACACACTTCTTCTCTTGGCTCTGCCTCGGCTTCGGCTCCGACTGCGCGTCCGTGGACATGGCAGAGATTGGGGTTCATCCGAGCGTTCCCAACGCTTATGTATCGCTGTGGTCGCTCGCAAGAACGCGGAAGCTTGTCGGTAACGACGCTCTTCATTAGGATCCTCTTTTGGCATTGACAGCGATCCCTCTCGACGCTTTAACCAGTACTGAAAACTCTCCTCAAGTTTACGACACGGCTCATGCGGTCTTAGCACAAGCGCTATGGGTTTCAATCGCTCACCAAAGTTCATAGGTCCATTAGACCCGTAATTCTCCATTGAGCGTATAAACTCATCAGGGAGCATCACTTTCGTCTCCAGCAGCGTCGTCGGTAAGATTTTCGATTGTCCGACAGTCTGGTTTCCTTGTTGTCGCAAAGGTGCTCGCTCGGACCGGAGCCGCTTGAAGACATTGGCTAGTTGGAATATAACGCGGGGAGGGGGGGGCTTGTTCTGTGCCGACAGGGATGAAACAAGGAATCTGCTCGCCGGTGTATTCTTCTGAGCGTTGCACTAAATGCTGTCGTGTAAGCGACACGTGGCCAGCTTTCATTTATCCAAACACTATCAGTCGGTTTGGGTATACATGTAGCTGGAAATGCCCCTACCGACTCCCCTACCGGCTTGTATAATACAGAATTCACACACATACCCGAAATTGGACTCGCTGCTATTAAACAAGCTTGATACACACGCTTGGCTGATGACATCAGTCGTGGACTCTTGGGCCACAAACACAAAATGGCTGTTCAAATTCGCGATACGTTTGAAAAGAAAGCACACACAATTCCATCACTGATCACAGTTCGGCTCGGCAAGTATGCAGTGCAGGTCGGTGACTGCAAACCCGAGATGCACGTGCTAGTGAAAGAGTACAAGGCAGCTTGATTAAGATCGTTCACCAGTATACAAACGTTACCGGTACAGTATTGATAATTCTTCAATTTAATGTTTTCTACATAAATTCAGTCTGCCTTCGCTGCCAGCCATCGTTCATTCTGTCAAGGGCAAGACGTGGTGGAACTTTGTTGTGTCTGCATTGCAGCTATAACTTACAATGCCGCGTAAAGGAGGCAAGCGCGTACGTATCTGAATCTCATCCATTCTGCGCGCAATTTGTCCTCACAGCAACCATTTCGCACCGCACAATACGAGGCAATCCGACCGAACTTCTAATACTTTTTTTGCAATTATTGCAGAGGAAAACCCGCACGCACGTGGTGGAAGCCCCAAGTGTCGAGAAGGATGACACGCCCATGAGCTTCGTTTTCAAGATGGGTAAAGTACCTGGCGTCGTGAGCAGTCTCGTGCAGGATATGCGGCGAGTCATGGCCCCGTACACAGCCGACAAACTTCGCGAGAAGCGCAAGAACACGCTCAAGGACTTTGTACATGTCGGTGCGCCTCTGGGCGTCACTCACTTTATCTTCTTCACCAACACGGAGGCTGGAACGAACCTCAAGATCGCGCGTATCCCGCGTGGCCCGACGTTGTCGTTTAAAGTGACCAAGTACTCGCTCATGAGCCAGATGCATTTGGTCGTGAAGCGCCCCGTGGACGCGTCGCAAGCTCTCAAGTCCAAGCCTCTGGTAGTTCTCAACAACTTTACGACACCCGACGACCACATTAAGCTCATGAACGTGACGTTCCAGAACATGTTCCCTGCTATCGACGTCCAGACGGTGGCGCTGTCCGAGTGCCGACGCGTGGTGCTGTTCAACTACGAGAAGGAGACAGACACGGTCGAGTTCCGCCAGTACGTGATCCGTGCAGCGCCACTGGGACTCTCCAAGAGTGTCAAGACCATTGTGAAGGCCAAGGTTCCCAACCTGAACAAGCTCGAGGACATCAGCGAGTACGTGCTCGGCAACGGCGCGGGCATTGGATCGGCTTCGGACAGTGAAGTGGACGACGAAGCGGCACACGTAACGCTGCCCGACTCGTTTCGTGGACGAGGCAACCGGAAGGCAGAGAAGAGTGCGGTGCGTTTGACGGAGATCGGACCGCGGCTCACGCTGAGTTTGACCAAGGTGGAGCGCGGTATTTGCGAGGGCGACGTGTTGTACCACGCGTACAAGACTAAGACGCCCGAGGAGTCGGCGAAGGCCAAGGCTAAGCACGAAGCCGCTCTGGCACTCAAACGCGAACGTCGTGAAGAACAGGAAGCGAATGTCGCCAAGAAGCAGGAGGTCAAGGAGGCTAAGAAGCAACGCAAGGCTGAGCGTAAGCGTAAGCGCGAGCAGGACGATGACGACGACGAGTACAATGAGACTACTGCGAAGACTGGCGACGACTCGGAGCTGGACGACGTCGAGTATTATCGCCAGGAGGTTGGCGAGGAGCCTGACACGTACATGTTCCCAGAGAAAAAGAAGGAGCCGAAGAACAAGAAACACAAGGTCACCGACAAGAAATCTGCTGCTGTCCAGAAGCCGTCGGAAGTGGCAGCGTCAGACAAGAAGAACCGCTTCCTGCGGCCTGGCGCCAAGGCTCCCAAGGGCCAAGTCGTTCGCCAGCGCCAGCCTAAGAAGAAGTAAATCGCTTCAATCCGTCAGCAGCTGCAAGCTTTTTCTAATAGATTCCATTCCTTCATCTCCGTCTTTACCAACGTAGAAATCTCCTTACAATTTCTCATGTCACTCTTTGTTTCATCTGGTTGGGTGTCTTAACGCACACGCTAAACTAAACTAGCCTACCGTAGCCTACTTGTTGGAGCTCTGGGGCTCCAATACATGAACAAGCGGCGGCCAGCACTAGAGCTCACTTCACCGTCTGCCAGGGGGCGGCTGCAGCGACGGATGCTGATGCTGCTTCGGGTCGCTCATGGGGATCGGGAAGCGATCACGACGGCCACCTTGCGGGACGCCACCCGGACCACCCAGATTCTTTGGGTTCAGCCCAGCAAGACGCTGCGGTGGAGCCTGCAACTTGCGGTCTCCGCCATCCATAGCGTAGCGCATGCCACCGACCTTGTTCTCTTCCTTAATTGGCCGTCCTGGCATTCCTCGACGGCCATCCTGCTGCATGTGTACAGCCTGCGCGTGTTGCTGTTGCTGAGCTTGCATCTGCGCCTGCATCTGTGCGTGGTGGTGAGCTTGTGCCACCTGCGCCGCTTGTGCTTGAGCTTGGGCGTGGGCATGTGCCTGGGCTTGAGCTTGTGCGTGAGCCTGGGCCTGCGGGTGCTGCGACTGCATCTGCTGAGCCTGCTGCGGGTGCTGCATGCCTGGCACCATACCGCCCATGACACCGCGAGGCATCATCCCACCACCGTTCATAGGGGCACTCCGACCCATACCCCGCATCATGCTCATGCCAGCACTACCGACAGGCATTCCGCGTGCCATGCCGCTGCTGGTCTCTGGGCCGCTAACACTCATCGAGTTCGTCGTAGGTGCACTGCCCATGCTCATGCTCATGGGGGCTTCACCTGCTCGAAGCATGTGAGCCATCGGGGCACCCTGACTTACAGGAGGAGCGCCGTTAGGCTGAGCTCCTTGTGCTGGAGCGCCTTGCTGTTGTGCCTGGTATTGAGTATCTGCCGTGGGTCTCGATGAGAACGTCGGCATGGGGGACGTAGTGGGCGGTTCTGAAGGACCAGGAGCCGAGTTGGCACCGGCCATACCGATCGTGGATTGGCCTGTTTCTCGGACGCGAAGGAGCTCCAATCGCTCCCGAATAAACTGCGCGTCCGCGCCAAGCTCGGCAGCCTTCTGGTAGGCATCGCGAGCGTCACTGGTTTGGTTGCAGGTGTCGTACAGCGTTCCGACGTTGTACCAGACTTCACAAATGTTGGGGTTGATGTTGATAGCACGCGAGTACGCGTCGAGAGCGTCCAGATGCTGGTTCAATTGGTAGAAAAGCACACCGAGTGAGCACCACACGTTCGGGTTCTGCGAGTCCGTAGTCACAGCGTGCTTGTACGAGTCGTAGGCCTCCTCAAACTCTTGCACGGCCATGTAGCATCGACCCAAAAGGTACCATCCCTTGCCGTCCTGCGGGTCGATAGTCACAGCTTTCTTCAGGTAATCAATAGCAGGCGGGTGCTCGCTGTGCTTGAGGCAGAGCCAGCCGAGCTGCTGCAGCGGCTTAGCGTTGTTGGGATTGAGTTCCGCCACCTTGAGGTAGCTGGACTTGGCCAGCTGGATCTCGTCCTTGAGTTCGTACACATGTCCGATCTGCGTCCAAATATCGCTGGCCATCTCAGTGGTCTGCACGTTGGCTTGCACGTCATGCAGCACCGACTTGAGTCGTTCCAAAGCGCCGTCGTAGTCTCCGCGCTGCTTGGCGATGATTCCGAGGCGGAATTTGACCTCTAGGGCCATGTTAAAGTTGGGTTCAAAACGGAGCACGGCCTCGAACGATTCTTGAGCGTGTTCAAGCGATCCGAGACGTTCGTAAAGCTGACCAATGCCGTACCACATGTTTGGGTCCTTCTGACTCATGGGGTTGTTGTACATGGCGTATTGATAGGCCGTGTGCGCACTCGTGAGGTCGTTCATCATGAGGCAGCAGTAGCCGAGGTGGCCCCAGGCGTCCGAATTCTGCTCATTGAGCGACACAAGGCCACGGAAGCAGTCAGCAGCCTTCGTGTAGTCCTCCACCTTCTCGTAGCAGCAACCGATAGCAAATAGCGCCGTGGCGTTCAGGCGGTTGTGCGATAGCACCTTCTCGTAAGCCAGCATGGTGTTCTCATCGTCACCCATCATCTCAGCGATGCGGCCGAGGGACAGCCAAGCCTCTTCGTTCGCAGCAGAGAGCTGGCGGCCGAGCTGTAGGGGAAGAAGTTAGCCATTGTTGCATCCGTAGTACCATCACTCTGGGTGTAGGTAAACGTACGGTGTTATTCTCCTCCATCTTGGGGGTGGCCATGCTACTGTGTCAACAATGTACGTGAAGAGAGAGGGGGGGCGACCTTCTTCTCTGATTTGAGCGTGTGAACGCGCGCGTGTCCGTCGAATTCTTCCTTCCCACTTTCGACTTGTGCGCGAGCCGTCTGTTTGTCTAATGCACTGATTTGATGGTGGGCGGGGGAGGTTCTGGGGAGAGAGGGGGAAGGCCAGCATCCGGAGCGACGGGAAGGAGCGTGAAGCCCTAGCCGCAACGATCTTTTACTTTCGACATAAGATGTAACTATCGACAACTCATGTAAAGCAAAGTTTATGATACATGTACAGTATGCTAATTGGCAAAAAGCTCCAACTTCTGGATAACCAAGCGTGACGAGCGTGACGGACGTACATCCCTTCCAGTCCGTGACGACGGGGATTCTCGACGAGTCGTCTCTATTTCAGCCGAACAGATGCGCGCGTTGCCAACGGCTTTGCCGAGCAGAGCTCAGTGAGCACCGGATGAAACGCGGCGCCTGAATCTCGGAGCGGCGGTTTTCAGTCAAGTGGCAGCTCTTAGTCGCGGGTGAGTGTATCGGATAATTCTTCGGTGGGTCCGAAAACGGCGTCGTGAATGTTTCCATTTTAGTTTAGAACGGGTTTGACGCTCTACGCCGCTCGGGCATCTTTCGAATGCGATGCAAAGCTGGTGCGTGCGTGGATGCATCGCTCTGAACCCACTCCTGCCGTCGGATCAGCGCCATCATGGCACACACTTAATGTAGAGCAGCTGTTCGTGGCAAGCAACGGAGACTTAGCGTGGGGACGCTGAAATGTGCGAGGAGAACACAACGACACTTTTTTGACGTCGAATACGTGTATCGTCGCGGCAAAGCGACTGATAAATCGGGACAGTGCCGTTGTTGACATGAGGCCATTAAACGGTGGAATATCGTGAGGCAGATGATCAGCCTGTGGAGTTTCCACCACGTGGCATGCTGCATGCGCTTGTGGTGCTGTGTACTGTACACAAGTATCACAACAGAATGATTGTCGTGATGTTGCCGTTGTTGAACTGCCCGTTGGCTTGTTTCCAACGTCGAAAAGCGCGGCACCGCTAAACGGCTTCACTTCGCAACGTAGATTGTTCGCCATCGAATGGGAATGGTAGCACACCTTGTTATTACATCGAGTAGTAAATAGAGCAACCTGTGTGATGCACAAAACATATCGTCCCTCAGCAGCCGGTACTTCAAGAAGCTTCTCTTCTTTTAGAACGAAGTGGTTGGAGCACCCTAAGTTTTTTTCATAAAAAGTCCCGTTAAGGGCGTTTGGGCGCCCTAAGAATTTTCGTCATTTTTTAAGAGCTTCAAAGATTACACGTAAAATATTAAATTTCCGTGACAATTTAAATTACTCAGTAGTACAATACATTCTCATTTAGGTACGATAAATACTGGCCGTCGGATTTTAAGTGAACATTCTAGAAAACGCGCAGCGCGGAAAAGGGGGCTCCGCGCGCGATACTGCCAGACGATCGCCAACTGAAGTATCTGTCGCCGGGAATCGCTTGCGCGCACGTGCACTTCGCTGGGGGTAAAGTCAATGCAGAAGGGTACGTGCGTTTATCTACGGTCTGACCATGTTTGGTATCATGACGTGTATTTCTCCGTAGACGAGATTTCGATGGATAGTAATTCTTCTAGTGACGCCCCAGACGACGACCGCGACGAAGATTTTATACACATGAGCGATTCAAACGAGGAGTTGCAGGAACTTCTTGAGGAGATCGGTGAGAACAATCGGTTGCTAGACATCTTTCTACGTTTGTTTACTATGAATTGTAATGGCGTGCGCAGAATCGAAGCCAAAGCACTCTCATCGACAAGGTTTGTATTGCTGCTTCTTGGAGCTCTGCTGAATCACAAATCTAACAACTGTGTATTATTAAACGAAGTAATGTAGGCGCTACAAAATCACTTTGGTCGGAGAGACAATCTCTAAAGCGGAAAAAGTTTTGCCGTCGACGTACAGCATCCGGGAAGCGGCGGCGGCGGCGATCGAGTAGAACGAGCAGCTGCACTGGCGAAGAAAGTGGAGCAGAGACGCTGTCGATGCATTCATCTGACGGAGCAACAGCCGATTCTCGTTACGATCCACTCGAACGGTATGCTCAAGACCCACACTCCGACCGCACGCCCCGCGCCAGGCGTACCGAAACGTATCCAGCTCGTATGGCGATGGAATCATCCCGTGAAGGCGTTTGCAACAAGATACCTCCACTACCTACGCTGGTTTTTTCGTCGTGGAGTGAGGTTAACCGCGTTTTAGAGAGGTACAGCAGCGATTTTTCCTGTTATTCCGAGCCCGTGACACTCAGACCGTGAAAAAGCACAACTCGTAAGTTTAAAGATTGTACCATCATATTATTGAATACTGATAACATGTTGATATGATTTATTAGATTGAACGCTCTGCAGATACTAACGAGTATGGAGCACAGCTACAAGGTGTTCCGCTGCACACATGGGTGCTCGCAAAAGTCTCGCAGCAAAGGTCGGCGCAGTACGCCAAGTCGATACACTGGATGTCAAGCCCGCTTCACAGCTGCAGTAAGAAATGTTGCCGCACAAGGAGAAAAACCAGAGTGGAAATTTGTTTTACGGAACTGGGTACGTGGCCGTACAATTGTTGAATAGTTTGATGAACTATTAACAAGCTGATGTCTCTGATTGTAGACATGGACACATAATCACCGCATGAATGCAGCGATTTACGCGAGTTACTTTGGAGCCGGGTCGATACCGGAAGATAGTCTGGTTCTCGAACAAGTGGGCCGTCTTGCCGATGCAAACACAGACTCGCGTCGCATTCAAGAGTTTCTATCGGGCGCCTTGGACCGTCAGGTGACACCCCAGCAAGCGCGTAATATTGTGCAAAGGGTACTGAAAAGTACTTCCGCTGATAAACAGCTAGCGCGCATGCTTGATACCCTCGCGGAGTTCAAGAATCATGAGGTACTTGTTATCCACGATTAAAACGACGTGACGTGCAAAGTGCCACTCAAAAGGTAGCTTTTGAGCAATGGGGTGACATTTTATGCATGGACTGGACTTATGGCACGAACAACTTGGGGTTTCATCTCGGTAAGATTACTCATTAATTGTGTGAAGTCATACAAATTTCCTTCAATGTTTTTCGTTCGGCGCCCTTATCTTTGCGGCGCCCTTTACGCTAGGCACCCTTATCTCTAGGGCGCCCTTATCTCTGGTGTATCATCCTTACTAATTGTCTCTTATCTATATGTAAATGCAGGTGGCCTGCTGGTGACTAGTGCAACAGGACGTGGCGTGCCTGTACTAGACTTTATCGCTCTCAACAAAAACATGGAAACAATGGAGACTATTTTGGAATTTTTTAAGACGCACAACAATTCGTGGAGAAACATTGAGACCTTTGTGATAGACAAAGACTTCAAGGAATGGAAAGTTTTAGAGAGATGCTTCCTTCAAGCCACAGTGCTACTCTGCCAGTTCACACCATGGCGAATTGGAAAAAAAATTATAAAGCGGGCAGAGTATGGGCTTAATGGTGTTCAGCGAGATGAAGTGGAGATCTCGATCAAACAGATGATGTACAGTACTACCAGAGAAGCTTTTGAGCGAGCAAGAGATGGATTCGAGAAACTGTGTAAAGGAAAGTGTCCCGATATTTGTAGTAAGCCGTGCCCAAAGATTTTTTCGTACTTTCAAAACAGCTGGGAGTGGTGTAGCGATATGTGGTCGAACCATGGTCGTGGGAATTACTTTACAGCGGGCAATACGACGACGAATAGGATTGAAAGCAATTGGAACCAGCTTAAACGGCTTCTTGGAAAAAAATCACGGATTGATCGAACAATCGCGGGATTACTACAAAACCAAATCAATGGTGTCAACCACGTCCTGACATCGTTGCGCAAGTTTTCAAGTCAGTCGCGTCCACCAGATGATATTCCTTGGTTCTTGCAACGCGTTGCTGCAAAGCTGTCTAACGACACATTTGTGAAGGTTTCGTTGCAGTGGAACTTGTTCATGGTGCACCAGAGTGAAGCTACATGTCGGCACGTCGGGTTGGCCCAATCCAAATGGAAAGTGTGTTTGCATGGTCAAGAATGGTGTGTTGACGATCTGCTATGGTCGTGCAATTGTTTGTTCTATAAAAGCTGCCGACTTCCTTGCCAGCACGTAATGATTGTTGCTAGCAAAATTCATGGATTCGAATCACTTCCAGCAGAATCAGTACCAGCTCGATGGAGCATGACAAAGACTGAAGAATTGTACGCGACGATTGAAAATGGGTTGATCCCGCTTCGTGAGGTGGTTAATATGGTGAAGGCACGACCACCTCCGGTTATGGCGCCCCAAGTCGTTGCAGCACCCTTAAAAATATTTCTACTACGGCTCTGAGCACGGGAAAACGTTCTGTTAAGTACGTGCGTCTACGACGAAAAGAACAGGCAAATATGGTTGTCTTATCCGACGCTGAGAAATATGCAAGAGCACAAGCAATGTTTGAGACAATTATTGAAAAACTTAGTGCGTTACCGACAGTTGACTTTTACCAGCAGATGAGCAAGTGGAAGACAGTGCTCGAGGAAGAAGTAGGGGGTGACTGTGGATCCATTGACGATAGCTTCGATAGTGATACGGAAAGCTACCTGGACCAACTTGATTACGCAGATGTGATGGCCGAAATGGAAGTTGATCAAGAACAGGTCATGAAGGCTGAAACCTCGCTCGAAAGTGGAGCATTTCGATGCACGACGTTTCTCTTTCAGACAAAGATACAGTGCCGTCCGATAATGTGTTTGTAGAACCAACACAACCGGCGCAACCTTCTGAACAACCTGCACTACAATTCTCTCCAGACGACGAGGACGTGGATACATCTGACATCAAAACAAACCAATCCAAAGTCCTGCTACCGTGTCATCGGACATTCTTCCCAAAGCTCGAGATCTTAAATTTCTCCAGCTCCCAGCCCCCAAACTCGAACAAGAAAAAAAGAAGAAGCAAGGATGGAGCACCCCACAACCGAAGTTTGCTCTTGTTTTGTTTTCTTCTGAGGTGACGACAACGATGACAGAAATTATTCAGTGGTCTAACTATCATCCAAACGTGGAGAAGGTCTCGAATGTGCTCGACCAGTATCCAGTGCGTATGACTGACAAATTCATCCAAGCTCGTCCCGTTAGATGTGAAATTGCAACGGAAACCAGCGCGAACAGCCACAAGGAACATTCATTTGTTATTCCAGACGTTCTTTTGAAAAAAAAGCAGAGGCTTTGATGCTGAACAAGAGGGCCCGTCTTGCTGCCAATAAGGAAGACGCACCATGGGGGCTCATGGTTTCATTCGGCTCAAGCGACATCGCTCTCCACAGGTACGTCAACAGTTTCTTCTCTGCAGTACCAAGGGTGCTACAAGAGTATTAAGGTTGCTCGAGGAGTACTAAGGGCGCCACATCACAATTATTAAGTCGTGTGTTTGCTAGTAACACTGGTGATGTCTATGTAGCTCTTTCTTGTACAGAATGAGGAGTTTTTACGACATAAAGGCGAAATCGAAGGGTTTCCTTGAAGACCTGAAGTGGATAAAACAGGAATGGCGCTTTGTTCAAGCCCACCCAGTTGAATTATTTGCTATGGAGACCAAAACGAACGGGTTGCTACATTCCGAATCTGCACAAATGCACGAAGCACTGTCCGACGATGTGATCAAGAAGTTTTCGACACTATCGCTGATGACAGAGCTGAAGACCAAGTCGGGAACCTGCGTTGTAAAGTTCAGCGATATTGCTTGTGGAGTCCTACGCGACAGGCTAAACGACGCTGCCATCGACATGGCAATCACTTTGATAGCAGAGAGTGCACGAGGATGTGTTGCCTTTTCATCGCTGACTCTGGCATTGCGATGGCCAAAGCCACCAGAACAATGGTTATCTCAGATGCAATTTGTGATTCTGCCGCTTCACTTGAGTACGGATCACTGGGGAGTTATCGTCGTGGAAGTTTTGTTCCCAACAACGCTGAGAGTGAACTTTTACGAGCCGCTTCATCAGCAATGCTATCGCAAAGAAGTTTTGAGCGCATGATAAAAATGAGTTACTGCCGTACTTGCAAAGATGCCATATTGATAGTGGCTCAAAAGAATCGTTTCCAAAAAAAGTAATTACGAGCTGGATCCGTGAGCCGACTCAGCCCCATGGTATCTGCTGTGGAGTGATGATCATCGGAATGGTTTACTCATATGTGCTCAACGCTCGCAGATTTGGGCGTCATCGTGTCACTGACGCGTATTTACGCGTTATGCGATTGAGACTCGCATGGATGTTGCTGTGTACAACAAAGCGGGTACCGACAAGCACCGGGAATTTAGCTATAATGCAGAAGACGGATGAAGAAATCAGCAGGTTCGTCGCGTCAACATAAACATCGTGCTACATTCAGGAGCGAGCTACTAATTTGTTCCTTATCAATATAACAAACCACATGTGTGTTTAGCATTTCCACTCCTATTTTGACAATTCACTTCTACATTGGGCGTTGCATAGCGCCATTGCCTTGCTCGCTTCACGTGCAAGTCCTTTATTATCTCTCCTTAAAATGCAAACGCTAGGTCGAGCCTCTCGCGCTCATCTCTAGAGCGCAGTTCGTGCACCACGTACATGTATCTGGTGCTATTAAATACCTGGTGCTTCAGAAAAAAAAACAAGTTGCTGATGGATTAGCTGCTACAACAAGACAATCAAATGTGACAGTAAAATGTGATGAAATGCAAAATTGACAATATGGACGGCACTATCGTGAAACTTCGCCTCTGTCGGCTGCCTCTGTTGGTAATTTATTTTCACAAATAAGGGCGCTGATCAGTGCTAATGGTGCGGAAGCACGTTAAGGGTGCTCTAAGGCTGTTGTGTTGTCGTCTTCTTAGGGTGCCTTAACGCCATTCCTTTTACAATGGTCATCATTGATCATCAATTCAATGATGGCTGCATTGTATCCGGCTATTCGTTTTATCCGGATAACGAATCGGTTTCGAGGGTGCTGCTGCTCGTTTGACAGACAAGTCAATATTGACACTTTCAGATGTGGCGGGTGCGCTCTAGCGTCGTCGCATCACTCAGGCCCCGCGCCGCTTGTCAACGCACGGCTGCAGCAGCCAAGTTCATTGGGCCTGTGACACAAGTGCCATGGAAGCGATTAAACTTGAGACTGGCAAAGCAGCTGGCCGCTTTCAGCTCCGAGTCATCGGGTCGCGTTCGTGATGAAGCAAAGGAGGCCAATGCAACAGTAATACCCACGTTCAGCCAGGGTGACGAGGCCATGAAGATCACGCGTGTAGGCATGTATGTGAACGTGGCCATGGCGGCGACCAAGGTGCGCACTATTTTCGATTCAATCCGCACACTGCTGAGAATTTCACTGACGATCGAGTTCCTGGCTCCATTTGGCTTCATTTGGCTACTGCAGGGCGCTGTAGGGTTGGCGATCCACTCCAATGCATTGATCGCTGACGCGGCGCATTCGCTGTCTGACTTGCTGTCGGATGTGGTTACGCTCTGGAGTGTCAAAGTGGCGAGACTTCCGCCTGACCCGAAGCATCCCTATGGTAACGTAATGCTTCCTGGTCCTATCTGCAGTGGGGAAACTGAATCTAGTTTGCTGTGCTCTTGACTTGCAGGATATGGCAAGTACGAGGCGGTTGGGTCGCTCTCGGTTGGAGCCATCTTGGTGCTGTGTGGACTTGGCATTGGTGCCGATGGATTTCAGGCTATACAGGAGATTTGGAACGGCACTGGTGCTTCGAGTCTACCGGAATTCACCTTACCATTCCTATCAGGTTGGTCTACATTTGCCGATATTTTTTGGTAAAGAAACATGTGAGAGCAACCGACTCATGCCATGCAACAGATATTGATCGAAGCACGCAGTGGGCACTTGCGGCGGGTGCTGCGGGTGTATCTATCGCAGCAAAAGAAGCTCTGTTTCACGCAACAGTGAAAATCGGCAAGCAGGCAAACAGCAAGGTACTCATTGCAAATGCGTGGCATCATCGCACGGACGCTATTTCTTCTGTTGTGGCCCTTGGTGGCATTATCGGCTCGATGGCAGGGGTGCCTCTCCTCGATCCAGGTGTGTTTGTTGCTTTTAGTACTGCTTACTACTTGTGAAGTCTGAAGTACTATTATTGTATTCGTAGTTGCTGGTATGGCCGTGGCTGCGATGATCGTCAAGACCGGTGGCGACATCTGCCTGGACAGGCATGTATCGTTGACTGAGCGACTTTGCTTGAATAAATGCTAACCGAGCTCTTTTTTCTCTCGTATGCAGTGTTCAAGAGCTCACCGATAACACTGTCGAGGCCGAGGTACTCGAAACGCTGAAGGAGGTGGTAGGTGAAACCAGAATTAGTTGCGGGAAGAAAAGTATCTCTTTGCGCACCTGATCTTTTTGTCTGCCAAAGTCTGCTGGTGTAGATGATGTATTGCATGTATCACAAGTTCGGGCTCGTAGAATGGGACCGTATACACTAGTGGACTTGCGTGTTCATGTACGTTGCATCTATGGATTCAGTTATGTCTGTTACGTATGGGTGTGGTTTTGAGTCTAAATGCTATATTCGCTGTTGTTGCTGAATCAGCTCCATGCGCGGACGAGTATTTCGATGGCTCAACAGGTATTAATATTTACTATCATTTAAGTCAAAAACACTAATAACAGCGCACTAACAATGCAACTTGCTGCAGATCTCGGAGCGAGTGCGATCTCACATCTTACACGAGGTCCCCGACGTGACCGAGGTGCTGGTGCATATTGACGTTCAATTCGGTACGTACTTACGCATTGATTCGGAGCTCCCAACAATCTAAGTCCTAATAACGTGTGCGTGCACGCATTTTAGACGAATTCAGCTGCTCAGCCTTCAGTGGAGGAGAAGTGAGCAAGAAGAACTTCCGTCCGTACAGAGAGATCAAAAACGACATCAGCTACGCGCTTGCCACCATTCCCAAGATCACCGGAACCACGCACATTAATACACATTGGTTGCCACACTTGGGCGGTCGAGACACGGCCGTCGACGTCACCATCGTCGTCCAACCAGACCTGAAAGTTGGCGGTGCTCACGCTGTCGCGAAGAAAGCCAGGAAGTATGTGCGCTTGCTGTCACTATTTAAACTCCCATGCACTTACTCACGCGTGCTGTAATTACCAGAGCTATCGAAGCCATCCCGTACATTGTCGAGGCCGACATCCATCTAGAGCTGCAAGACGATGACGGCGAGCCGTAGATCACCATGCTCAACATTTCCTGCGACGTGTGGGAGCAATTACGGTCCATAGTGAACTCATGTCAAGTCTTCAGACTTTGATGAACGCATGTTCATCCGCGTTTGCCGTTTGCACAATCATCCAGTCACGTGGTCCACACGACTGCTGTAAAACTGAAAGAATAAAAACTCGTCTCACAACAGTTCTGCTCTTGTTGCGGTCAAGTGACTTCCATCATGGCGGACCGGAGCATCGTGATGGACTTCCTACTGGCCAGTGTGGCTACGAGCGGTGCGTGTGTGGTCTCCAACCCCATGGAAGTCATCAAGACGCGTATGCAGCTACAGGGAGAGCTGGCACACAACGTGACGCGCGGTGCGGCACCCGTGGTACAGTACCGCAACTTCGCTCATGCTTTCTACACCATTGGACGCACCGAAGGCCTGCGCGGTATTCAGCGGGGACTTGGTCCTGGTATCTCGTACCAGATCTTCATGAATGGACCGCGCCTGGGATTGTTCGAGCCAATGCAGAAGGTTTTTGGCGCAACAGACCCCACGGCCTACTCATTTCCGATTCGCAACGTGTGCGCTGCAGCCACCTCTGGAATGATCGGAGCCTTCATCGGCAGTCCTTTCTTCCTAGTAAAGGCACGAATTCAAGCGGCCAGCTCAGCAGGGAAAATCAATGCGCAATACGCGTATAACGGAATGGTACATTGAAAACACGAGGAGGGCGAGAGTGGAGAGCTCATGGTTTGACTTGTTCTGTTGCTGTAGATGGACGGATTTCGGCAGATTGTCAAGGCCGATGGATTATTTGGGCTGTATCGTGGAGCTACGGCGTCGATTCCGCGTGTTGCAGTATGTTAGAGATTATCCGGCTTGGTTGTAAGGGTGTGTTCTGATTTTGCGGTGGTTGCTTCGATGCAGATTGGCTCAGGCACGCAATTGGCCACGTATACACAGGCAAAGACACTCGTGCTCGCAGCGGGCTTTGAGGACGGTGTGCAAGTTCACTTGGGCTGTAAGGTTGTCATTGTAAGTGGGGGAGTTGGATGGAGAACTGAATGAGTCGTTGATGCTACAGCGAGTATCTTGACGGGTCTTGTGGTGACGACGGCGATGAACCCGATGGATGTGGTGTCCACGCGTATCTACAGCCAGAAGGTGGTGAACGGCAAGGGCAAACTGTACTCGGGCGTGCTGGACTGCATCATGAAAACCATGAAGAGCGAGGGCATTCGAGGGTTCTACAAGGGCTGGGCAGCGCATTACATGCGGCTAGGACCACACACCATCTTCACGTTTCTCTTTTGGGAGGAGGCCAAGAAACTTGCCGCCGAACTTGGTTATTAGAGGCTGGAATGAAGCTAGATAGACAGATATTTCACCCTTAATGATCGGGTTTGTTTATTCTGAACAGAGCCTGCAAGTACCTGCAATCATGCCAATTCAGTTAGCTGCAACGCCTCGTTTGCCTATCTATTGCCTACCCACTTCAGTTACTGAGCATTCAGTACACGCGTAGATTCGGTTATCTTCAACAATCAACACTCGACACCATGTCTATCGTCTAGGCTTGACCCCTTATGACCTACCAAGGCTAAAACCTGGACGACCGATAGCCACTTGCGTCTTTTTCTGAGCTTTGATGACCTTGCGTGTGTCAGCCTTCTTCGCCTGTCCAGCTCTAGAACCACTGGATGCAGAGTCAGCGGCAGTGGAGCCACTCCCGGATTTGGCCGCTTCACTGCCAGGTGCATCAACATTCGGAGTCTGCCAATTCACGTGCGCACTGCTGCTCTGCTTCATCAGCTCGCGAATAGCGATCGTGGCGTCACAGCCGTAGTCCAGATCGAATTCAAGAATCATTGCGCGATGCGATTCCTGCTCTGATTCTTGCTTTGACGAGGATTCCTCAGTGTTTTGTGGCGACGAAGTGTCAGGAGAATTAGCGAGTAAAGCATCAACGTCGTTTGGGATCAACGGCTTCGTCGGGTCTGCGTAGCGCTCCAATTGGAATGAAACGCGTGTGGGCTTCTTCACCAAGTGGCGGTACGATCCATCCAGTACATACAACTGACTTCCATCAGGTCCAAAGTGAGCGTTCAGGTCGATGCCGTCCGTCGTGAGCATCTTTCTATAGGCAGCACCGACTTCATTGGTGGGATACTTGACAGCGTGTCCTGGTAGCGGCAACACAACATCCTCGATCGAGTACTGACTCGCATTGGCTTCTGTAAGTTCCATAACTTCCTGCATCAGTTGCCTCCTCGTGGTTTTCCCAGTCCTCATACGTTTCCTTGCAGGCTCAGCTGATTCACTCGACGTCTTCACCACCTTCGAGTTGACATTCCGAACAAGCACGAGGTCGCCAACAACAGCCGACGTCGACGAGAACTTAGCCACGCGCATACTCGCCATCTCATTCCATACAAAGTTCTGGTACGTCTCGATGTAAGATACACGCAGAGGCTTCGGGATGTTATTGAACGCCAATTCGTGCGCATCAATCCCATGCTGCTGATGGCCCTCGAGAACCGCTCGCTCTGGCACCAAAAAGGGTGGAAGCATACGTAGCGCAGCAGCCACATCCTTGTGCTTGCGGAAATGTTCTCTTGCTGCCCGGATCTTGCTAGCTTCCCCCTCCTGGGGACGAAGCAACAGCAACACTGCCAGTTTATAGTCCTTACGCAGCATCGCACGGCCAAGCAGATGATACGACGTGCTGGCGTTACCGAAGCGGTGGAGTCCGTAAAAGTTAATGAAGCCTCGTCTCTCCCAGCTACGAACAGTCTGGCGGAGCTCCTTGTCCGGCAACTCCTTCTCATCTGTTGGCAACGAGCGGATCACCATCGCGATGCGGTTGCCGGCGCAGTCACCCAGCTCGAGTTTCCGAGAGACGTAGCGCAAGTCGCCGACGAGATATTGCTGGTCTTCCAGCTTCTTCGTACCACCGGGTCGAAACGCAACCTGGGCGCGATCCTTCGGCACACGGTACACCGTGCAGAGCTGAGTCGTAATTCCACGCTTGTCCTTGACATCAGCGAAGGAGAAAAGCGCTGGAGAAATCTTCAACACGGACGCGAGCTGGTTAATCACAGCCGACGTGTCCTTATTTCGCTTGTACAGCGTGAGCTGCAGATAGTCCGCTGCAAACAAATGACAGTGTCAGTCTTGCACCCACCCTCAATACACCACGACCAACACACTTACGTTGTCCGACAGGCCAGTCCCTCCTGCTGTCGCGTTCTCCTGGCAGCAACTTCACTGCAAAGTGCGGTCTCACACGGATCACGGCCGTATCGCTTCCAATATTCAACGTGTCGGCCACAATTCTGCTCTTGCCGTAGCGTCTCATGGTCTCGTGGATAAACACCCGGTCCGCCTTTTCATTTAATCCTCCGAGGTAGAATGACAGTCCGTCCGCAGCCGCTAGAGCAGCATTAGTGGCTGCCTGCTCTCCCACCTCCTTCGCCTTGGCCTCAAACTCGACACGTGCGAGCTCCACTTTCTCCAAAAACTGCTCAAATTCTTTGCCCTTTTTGGCGCCAATCTCTTGAGTCACCAGTATCACCAGTTGCTTCAAGTGATAGGCCTCTTGAGCTACCTGGACCAGCTTCTGCTGCTTCGTCGACGTCTGTTGCAGCTTACGCGCCAGCTGACGTACCGAACCGATGAGCTCTTCCTTGTCCTGCATCTCTTCGCTCTTATTGATCTCATCGCGGGGTGTCACGACGCCCAGCACGAAGTCCAAGACGCGCTCCTGGAAAGCAAGCTGAGCAGTTTTGCCCTTCTTGGCCACATTCTGCAGCGTGATTGGCTGCTTAGTGCGCTGTGATAATTCGTGCACCACGAAGTCGGCGAAGCGTTGCTTAACGACGCCCTTGAAGCCTCGTTGGGCTGGAGTCAGGAAGCCCGAAATGCCCGCCACTTCCTCGGCGATACACACGCTTTCGTGGTCGTTGTAGCCCTCGCCTTTGAACCACATGGGGCCCGATCCACGTCCTCCACCGCGTCGGAATCTGCGTCCGCCATTGTCGAAACGTCGACCGCCCTGGTGTCGCCTCGAGTCCATCTAGCAGCTAAGTCACCGAATGGCTATGACGGATTGACCCATTTTGATTTACAGTGACACTGGCAGTCAAGCGAGGTTTGATATCGTACGTAATCGACGCAAAACAGTAGACGCGTTTCTTGGAAAATTCATCTGAGCCAAATAGCTATCGCCTCCATTGACCGACAAAGAGTGTTGGTCTCCTGTTCAGATTAGCGTGAGCATGAGCGTTGAAGCGGACAAGACGCGCGCCGAGGCGCTGCTGCTACAGACCATCGGAAGCGAGGGGTCTGTGGCCGACACGTACGATTTTTCCTTATCCAATGGTCTGTCGCACGAGCTGGTGGTTGGTGTCATGAAGTCGCTGCTGGTGGACGCCTTTGTGGCCGACACAGAGCGCTCCACGTCGTTCTACGTGCTGAAAGACGAAGCCAACAGCTTCTTGGCTCAGGGATCGCCCGAGATTCAAGTCTTTCACGCAATTTCCGCTGAGGGCGTCGACCGCAAGACGCTGGAGGCCGCAGTGGGCGCCGCTACACTTAAGGTTGGACAGGGCGCGTGTATGAAGAACAAGTGGATCCGCTTAGACAAGGCGGATGGCAAGTTCTACCGCAATGTGGACGATGTCAAGGACGAGGTCACGGAGATGCTCCGTCGAGTTCAACAGGCGGACGGCGCGCTCTCCGCTGTCTCCAAGGACGAGGCCAACACGCTCAAGCGCCGCAAATTGGCCGAAGTGCGTACGCGTAAGTCGTACACGCTGACGAAGGGCGTGAACTTTGCTCTTCAGAGAAAGAAACAAGCAGCAGGATTGACCAAGGAGATGCTGGACGGGTGAGTGGCTTACTTGAAGCATGTAGGAGTGAAGAGTGCTGACGAGGTTATTGCAGTGACGCGTGGAAGAAGGAGACGTTCAAGCCCTACAACTTCAAGACGATGGGTCTGACTGTTGGCGGTGGCCACCTGCACCCGCTCATGAAGGTGCGCGCCGAGTTCCGTCGCGTGCTCATGGACATGGGGTGAGTTTTTTTACAATGGAAAAGCTATGGGTATGTGTGCCTTTGCTTATTTTATGTGGCGAATGTTGCAGCTTCCAGGAGATGCCGACCAACCGCTTCGTAGAGAGCAGCTTCTGGAACTTCGACTCGCTCTTCCAGCCGCAGTCGCACCCTGCCCGGGATGCCCACGACACGTTCTTCCTCACTCGTACGCTCGGTGGCTGCCGTTTGTGCGGTTAATATGTGAGCTAAGTGAATCATCCCTTTGTGTTGTATTTGCAGAGCCCAAGTACTGCCTGACGGTGCCCGAGGACTACTACAAGCGCGTCCACGACATGCACGAGAACGGAGGCTTCGACTCCATTGGGTACGTGGATGAATTTATCGAATGACCAGTTGGTTACGTGTTTAAAACTCATCATTTAACGAATACAGCCACGGCCGTGGTGCCTTCAAGCGCGAGACGTCTATGACGAACATCCTGCGTACGCACACGACCGCCATCTCGGCTCAGATGCTACACAAGCTCGCCAACCAGCCCGGCGGCTTCACCCCGCAGAAATATTTCTCCATCGACCGTGTGTTCCGTAACGAAAGCATGGACGCGACCCACTTGGCTGAGTTCCACCAGGTCGAGGGTGTGGTGGCAGACTACGACCTGTCGCTGGGTGACCTCATCGGTATCATCAAGGCCTTCTTCATGAAGATCGGCATTACGCAGATGCGCTTCAAGCCGGCCTATAACCCGTACACGGAGCCCAGTATGGAGATCTTCGCCTTCCACCCGGACCTTAAGAAGTGGACTGAGATTGGTAATTCGGGTGTGTTCCGTCCGGAAATGCTGCGTCCCATGGGTCTTCCCGAGAATGTACGCGTTATCGCCTGGGGATTGTCACTGGAGCGCCCCACAATGATCAAGTACCGACTCAACAACATTCGGGACTTGTTCGGCCACAAGGTTGATCTCGAACAAACGCGATCGGCCAAGCTTTACCGCTACTAGAGGTAGAGACGGATACAGGAGCTTGATTTCAGTTAGAAAGCCATGGAACGATTCACTGTCTGAATAAAGACGAGAGAGTGAGTGCATTTCCATGCTGTTGACGTTGCTGTCACTCAGCCCCCTTGATGACTAGGAATTGAATGTGTACTTTTCGTCTATCTGGATAGAAAAACTCTCCAGTCCAAGGACAAAAAAGGATAAATATTTGTCCCTGAAGGCTGAGCTGCTTGGTGACGATCTGATGCAAAGTTGAGAGAGTTGAGGCAAGCGTTATTCTTAAGCGGCCGTGCCCGACATGACACCGGTTAGTGTTTCACGGGTTTTCTTTAAAACATGGGGACGACCGTAGGTCATTCATCCCTAGCTACTTTTCGGAAATGATCTCCCAGGGTCGCAATCTTTTTTTCGTAGGCGTTTAGAGTACAGAAGTATATTAAAACCAGTCACCCCTCAATGAGAGGTTGGAAAATAGAATATGTTATTATAATTTTGTTTTCAAGCTGCAACTCGACAATCTTCATGCGGCAAGAGCATTTCCGCGACGTCGTCATAATCTTACTCTTTTGCTAGAATTACGGCTGCACCGGAGCAAGGCTCACAACGATTAGCATGTAGAAACTCTGCATGCTGTAAGCACCCATCCCCGATTGAAGCAGAACAGCATTCGTGACTTGCACGTTAAGGTTCTTGAGAAGATATTTGACTACTTCAAAGTGGCATTTAGATGCAGCACCCATCACCGCCGCAGGGTAGTGCACCCTTTTGTCCGATTCCCATCAAACCCTTAACCATGTCGATGTTGCCGTCGGTGTCTATTAGATGCGAGCTCCATCCTTCAACCTTTTTTAAGTGCGGATATTTCGCCACATATAGATAATTTTCGCTCACAGCGTCACTCAACGCATCCGAAGTGCAGCTCATATTGACATCACTCGGTGAATTGGCGTAAAGCCATTGGAGCATATTAAAGGCCATCTTTACTCGCAATTACTATCGTACTTACTATCGAGCGTTTTTGTTCGGGTGTTGCTATTGGATGGGATATTAGAATAGCGACCATTCACCATCCCCAGCCGTCGGGTAGCTCTGAACAAAGATTGAGAGTAGCGACCAAGAATTTCTCCGCGATGATGACGACGATCTTCCTGATGCTGCTTTTGTAGCTGTCTGCGTCGAACAAGACGTGTGCCCAACAGACTCTTCACTCAGCCAAGGCTCAAACAAAGGAAATCTTATGCGTATACCCCGTGATGCTGCGTCTGGACATGCAGCCCTCATTTGTGATTATCTTGCGGACAATACAGTTTACAGCGACAAGCAATTTGATCGGCGACATTGTGTACCTATTGCGGTGTTCAACAAGATTTGTGGGACTCTAGCATTTCGGAAACGCTTTTTTCAGCAGAATCCCGACGATATCGACCTCATGGGAGCATCGGCTGAGCAGAAGGCTGCAGTCGCACTGCATATGTTGTCGAAAGGTGACGGAGCCGATGGCCAAGACCAGTACTACAGTATCAGTGAGTCGCTATCGTCACCCTGTCTGAAGATATTTTGCAACTCTGCAGCTCAGAATTTTGCAAATGAGTATCTTCGATCGCCGTCTCATCTGGATACGCAAACAGAGGTTTACCAGGGCTGTTTGGCTCACACAATTGCTTTCACTATAAGTGGGCAGCTTGTCCAAATGCTTGGAAGGGTTATTACCAAGGCAAAGGCAAAACGTTTTGGACGCCGTCACGACAGCTGACCGGTGGATGTGGCATACATTTTCGAGTTTGCCCGGCTCAGCAAACGATATCAGCGTTTTTTTAAATCAATCGCCGCTTGTTACTAACATCCTCAGTGGCAATATATCGCGAGGAGAATTCAATCGGGCCGCTCACAGCCATACTTTTTTGCGATACCGCATCTGTTTAGCAGTAGTAACTGTGACAGCAACTCAAGTGGAGAATGTCTTAGACATGATCCAATGGCTTTACGCCAATTCACCGAGTAGCGTCAATATGAACTGCCGTTCGGATGCGTTGCGTGATGCTGTGAGCGAAGGTTATCTGGGTGTGGTAATAAATCTGCACCTAAAAAAGTTGAAGGATGGAGCTCGCAGCTAATGGACACTGCTGCGAACAAGTGTCCATTACTCGCAGCGGCATTCACGGCAGCACTGGTGTACCCTCCATCTTGATTTTCGAATAACCATTGAATGGTATTAGAATGACCTTTGGTTGCTGCACATCGATCGCTGCCGACGTGCACCCTTCGTATCGATTCTGGTTGAACCACTTCACTACTTCAAAATATCCATTTGTTGCAGCTTTATACATGGCTGATCTAGTACACCCTTCGTCGCGATTCTTGTGAAGCCACGTGACCATTCCCAGCTGGCCACTAGCTGCAGCAATGTTCATTGCGTCTACGGTATACTCAACGTCACAGTACTCGCTCAACCACGCCAAGTCACGAAGATCTCCCTCGGAACAGATCTACATTTGCATATCTCTACAGTATCCTTCGATGCCATGCTTGTATGGGTGCCGCTCGCGCGGATCCGTGGAGTAGTGGAAACGTCGTACCTCAAGTGGTGACGTAGGGTTCGTCACGGGGGGATTGTTCTCCATGTGTCGATCGCTTCTAAGAGTAGGAGCCATTTAAATGTAAATACACTTAAATGTCAACTTTAGGAAACTAATCAGGAAGTAACGTAAACACGTAAGTGCCGGGCAAAAGGCCGCGACAGGACTGCGGTGTCTGGCGAGGCTGCTCTTCTCTGCTGCTCTCTGATGAGCGGCAGGCGTCAAAACGCAAAGTGTTGAGCAGCCTCCGCCAGAACACCGCTGTACCGCAAAAGTAGATTAGTATACAAATAGCAAATAAGTCAATACTAAACTCTAGATAAATGCACTCTCGTTTGAATACACCATCTTGGCAGCGCACAGCCAACGATGTCCTTGTGCATACAGTCCTTGGTATAGTCCTTCGCCATTGCACGCATGTGTACTCAGTGTAGCCGGTTGTAGTGCAGCCGCAAGCTGCACTGCCAGGCGCATGAGTGTCCTTGGGATGTGTCTTTGCAGACACTGGCAGTGGACGGTGGCTCGTAGATGGGGGCACCGGACACTGGCAGACTGCAATGCACTGGCGCTCGACACGCAGGTAAGTTTTATAGCTCACACTCCCACTTGATCTCGGCGACGCACTTGGAAGTCGACGCGATCACACACGCGCATCCTAGTTGCCGCCATAGTCCTAGTAGTAGCGTAGTCGCAGCTCAAAGACAATAGCAGTCCACTCAGTAACAGTACTCCCACTCGATCGCCCTCGTCTTCATCAATGTCGCTCAGGTACAGCCTCCGCATCAACAGCAGTAGTCAACGCAGTAGCAGTAGTCGTAGTAGTAGACATATCATCGTATACGTTGTCATCGCTAGACACAATAGGTAAGTCTTTCATAGCCTTGCGAAAGTGTGTGAACTTCAACACTGCAAGTGCCTTTGTCATTATATCGGCCACCATATCATCAGTTCCGATGTGTTGGGTTGTAAGTTGCGTCAACTCCAAATGGCGTCTGATCATCAGGTACTTGTTACCGATATGTTTCGATTTCGAATGTTTGCCAGGTTTCGCAGTTAAGGCAATGGCTCCTTGATTGTCTCCCAGTAGTTGAAGTCCCCGATGCTTCCAGCTCATCTCTTTGCTTCCCCCCCACCGGCACAACAAGTCCTTGGTCTCCTCTGCCATGCTAGAA